GGAGCATCCTTTCCTCTCCCGGGCACATTTTGAGCAGAGATCCTGACATGGGGAATCGCAGGGTCCCTGGCAGGACGCGTCCCGGGGGAATCTGCTCCGTGCCGGGGGGTGAGCCCCGAGCTGGGGGGCTCTGACCAGCCCAGCAGCTCCCTGCAAGGCAGAGCTTCTCCCGTGGATGTGCGACTGCTCTGATTTACTCTGCGCGTTTGCGGGGAAGCTTAGAGGGAGGTTTGGTGTGAATGAGCCGGCTTCCTCCTCTAGCCTGAAATTTGGGTCACGCAAGCCAACATAGCAGAGCTGTGAGAGATGGTGTAGTTCTTCCTCGCTTCGAGCCCAAGCAAGCTTTGATTTCCAAGGTGCAACTGTTGATGGCTCGGAGGGTCCATCTGAGCCGCCGTTTCGTTAGCGATCGGCACGTGGAAAGAGGTGAGAGGGGTTTTTCCCCTCCCTGATCAGCTCCCACATTGCTAATGTTCCTCTCTGGCCCGCTGCTAATTTTGACGCTGCCCTAAATAGAAGCTGAGTGCATCTCATCTGCTTCGCTTAGCATCGGGGAAAATTGTTTCCCTTCATTTACTGCATCCAACTTGCGGCTTTAACCCTGTCAGCACAAATCTCTCCGCAGCCCAGACCTCCCTTGAAGGGCTTCGTGTGCCTCTGTCCTGGTGAGGAGCTCTGTGCTGGGTCCGGCACCGCACGTGGCAGCCGAGGGAGGGCTCCCGGGCACCGTTGGAGCGAGGAGAGGGGCTTTGCTTCTCGAACAGCCAAGGAGATCCCCTTCTCCACTGAAAGGCCTGGCGCTCCGGGCCGGCTCTCCCTGTGCTCTCTGCATCGCCCCGGCGGGGTGTCCTGCTCCCCAGGAGGCACCCAGTGCCCCTTCCCAGGCTGGCCTTCCCCAGCCCCGTGCTGGAAAATAGCTCAGCGCAGGCAGACCCAGTAGGAGTTTTGGGTTGGTTTCTGTTATGGTATTTTTTCCAGCATCTGGTGGGACCAGCTCAGCACGCGGGGACCTTTCCTGAGCCTGGCAGATGCCCCTCTTATCGCTGTCTGATTTTAAATCCCATTCTGAGTGGCTCCTCGGGAAGGTCTGCTGTTCCTCCGGCACCGGCCGCTCCAGAGCACAACTCTGGGCTCGCTCTCCCGGCACGGGGCACGCAGCCCCTCTCGGCGCTGGCGCCGGAACCAAGAGCTGCCGAAAGGCTGCCTTGAACCCGAACCCTCCCGCAGCGCGGCTTCAGTGCATCACTGTCTGCTCAAGGTGCTTCTGTAGGGCTCTCACACAAGAACCGTTTTCCTGAAAAACTGTAATTTTGTGGCGTTTGCAGCTCGGTGACTGTTAGGAGCGGTGTGCGGAGGACACGGGAGCACTGAAAGGGAGCACTGGGGGGGCAAGGGGCAGGGGCCTGCAGGCTGACTTTGGCTGGTT